AGACATTAAGTAGCCGCAACTTCGAATCTGATATACCTGTAGGTTAGCGATCAGCAATATCCACACCAAGCTTGTAGAATCTTCATCCAGGCCGCCTTTCTCTCCATTTGTTTCTGGGCTATTCGCTCTACGAGTTCATTCCCCAGTACAAATGCTCGCAGCTGCATCTGGTTCGTCTCATACTATGTTTAACAGCCTATCACTTGAGTTCCTCCCTCCGTTTCCTCTTCCCCCTCCCCCTGTACCGATCCTTCCCATCACAAATAATCCAGGCATTTCCAGACCTTTTCTAAATGCAGCTGAAGCACTCAGTATTGATAAGCCATGGTAGAGATATATCTTGATAGAACTCTGATCAATCGTCAGTGTAGCAGAGCGTGAGACGGTTATTCAGAGTAGTACCAGTGAGAAGAAAAGCAGTAACAGTCTCAAAAATTTGCTGCTTTTCAATCAGTTTGTGATCTTTTTACTGGAATAGTGCAGGATGCGATTACTGGTCGGCTTGCTGGTAATGATAACGATGGGCGCGATGTGTGAGCTAAGCCAGATGATGTGCCTAGCCGGCGGGGGTATGTCAATGGTTGCTGGAGCCATCACTGTATTTATTGCATTTTTCGGCTACGTCTGGATGGGCATACATTCCAATGCTTTGACCAGGTAACCAATTCAGCATCACGCCCTGCTTCTTCCTGCTCTAAAAAATAGCTTCCAAATTCTGCATTTCTTTTTCGGTCTTCCTCCACACTTCAATAAATCTAAGAAAGAAGAGATGTTGATGCAGCAATGGATCAGTCACGTTTCAGAGCTCGAAAAGCTTATTTCGATGAAGCAAATGTACTAGAAACATATCAGCCTCGAGCACGCACCATGGGTCATTTGTTCTGTGTAAGCGCCTTATTCGCAAATTCTACAAGTGTCCCAGAAATGAAAATTAGAGAAAGAAACTCTGACGGGAAAAAAGGAAGGAAAAAGAAAGAATTAAACAAGAAAAATTATTTTTTATGAATACCTTTTCTTCGATATTTTGAGGCGAATTTAACTCATTTTCACTTGCCCTCAGTTTTTGATCCAGTGTTTTAGTACCCAGTCAGGTTTGTAATTATAATCAAGAATATGTTAGATTGTGGTTCAGTGCTACAATTCAGCACTTCCTCGTTAATTTCTGCATCTATCTTCATGCTCCCTTCTAAATTATCTGAACTAATTTCTCACTCGATTCCCACAATTTCACTCTAGCAATCCTCACTGATCGTGCTTCCACATATACGTCACCGCGTTCTCTTCTTTTCTATCCAGTGCCACTGATTTTGAGCTTCCTTGCATTCCTCAAAAACCTCCCTTAGTGGATTGTGATGGTATTGCTAGTTTCGCGACTGTTTTGCAGCCGGAAC